TGAATGCATTACGGCAAATTAGAAAAATACGCCACTTTCACTATTCGTGCACAATAACAAAGAACGCATCGCACGTCTCAAAATAATTTTCACAGCAGTTGTGAACCCAATGATGAGAATAAAGTGTCACATGCAACTTCAAAAGAATACGTCCTTTAAAAATATAGTCCAACATAAAATTATGATCATTTAATACAGGAAAACTCACTCCCTGAAACCACATTTCTCCCGAGCATACAACAGACACTTGTGCGTTCAAATAATTCGTTTCCGTCGTAGAACCAAAAGATTTGTCCCGATCGCCCACTACACCAACGCTGTCAAAGTCTTCGTCTTCTCAGACGAGTTCCTAACAGACTACTTTCTTCCTTCGAGAAGTGTTCACGCTGCAACCTCAAGTATTTTTCATTTCCTTTCCTATCCTGATTTAACACACAAATAGCACGGCCACAATTTCTTTAAAACATGCCCCTCGCACTTCGCCATCATTCTTCCCTACGCGTGGGGGCCAGCCGCTCTGTCCGAACAGCCGTACCACATCTCCGAGATATTTTTAAAAGAAGACGCCTGCAACTGTTGCCACTTGAAAGTAGCTGCGAGGTTTGGGTCGCATGACGCCAATTACAGAAGTCTTCAAGGCGTTAAAAAAGTTCTGAGCTACAATTGCCATGTTTGTTTCCTCTTACCTGCTTTGCAACCTCACGCATGGTCAGGAACCCTGACTCAAAGTTTGGAAACGCGATAGAACCAAACTTCTTGCACTTCGGCAATGGACGCACCTTGATTATCACTTCTGTAATCACTCCCAGGGTCCCTTAGAAAGGAGAAACAAACACGTCCAGAACACGAAAATAAAGGAATAAATAACTTCACTATGTACAGAGAGCAAAGTCGTTGAGAAGCTGACAGTCAATCGGCAGGTCGCCCTCCTTTTTATGAAAGACGACTACCACGATTGCCAACAAAATTCAATGTTTTCAATTCTTTATTATTGGCGTGCTGCACGAACAGCCAGGAGGCCAATAACAACAAATAGATTATCAAAAAATTACACGAGTGTAGAGGAAGTTCGTACACAAAGGAAAACTGCTGATGAATACATCAATATCTTTGTAATATTAATTAAATTAAATTACGAAAATTAGATTAAAAGAAGAAGAAGAAGGCATGCAAAACAAATACAAGCAAACAAACAGATAAACAAGGTACTGTATCACAGAATTTATGTAATTGGGATGATAACGCATACTCAATTCCATTTTGAAAAGGTAAGAAAGGGGGGGGATGCATATAAATTTATAATGAATGTAATTAACATGTGACGTGAAGATAAAAATGCTGTCGTACGACTCTTTAGAGTCAGTATCACGTTTAAGAGAACATTTAAGGCACTCCAAACACGAGCACAAGCGTAGTCCCTGGTATAAGATAGGACTGAGAATAATAAATATGGAAGGATGCGGCAAGCAGCGAGGGAGATGACCCATTTTGAAGTACAGCATATTCCAGCATTTGCCTAGAGGAACTCAGAAATATACAAAAAGTCTCATCTAGGACCCCTAAGATCTCATTATTTAAGAGAACGAAAGTATCTGCTAGTAAAACAAATCCAAAATCTGAGATAATTTTTGCACGCAATGTTTTCAATAATATTGTAAGAGATACATTTTGTGACTTCCTCTGGCACTTCGTAACTGTTTCGGGTAATTACATCCATTTAACCTAAGACGAAAAATAAACTTTGTGGGCAAAGCGCAGGGTTAAGGTATGTTAAAATATGTCTACTGGAGCTCAGAATATAAATGCATAAAGCCAAACAACGAACCTTCTGATCCGAGGACTACGTGATTAAAATCAGGACCGCACGACATTCTGGGCACTTGGCAACTCTTCTCCAACACCCCAGTAGGAGTTACCATGCGCACGTGTACAAGAAGATCCTCAATGTTGCCATACATATTCTTCTTCATCCCTGACGCCCGTGTGGCGACCCAGCCGCCCAAGCTGAACACGAAACCAACACAGATTAATCAGCAGCATCAAGACACGGTAAAATATGCATTCTTAACTTTGGCACTAGATGGAGGTGAGTGGTACATGCCCCAACCACTTCCCTCTGAAAAAAGAACCTTGGTATATGCTGGATAGGAGGCTGGGCAGGTCTCAGAGCCCATCTGGACGTCGTGGCCAAGAGAAAAATCCTGCTGTGCTGAAATTAACATGGCGGCTCCAATGACAGAATTCAACAAATACAAGTGATCTGATTTTGTAGTCGGAGGACACCCAAAAGTGGCAAAATTTAACGTATGAGCAACGGCAATGTTCATGAATGGGTAGGTTTTACAGAACTGCCAACGTGTTTTGATGATACATATCCTGAAAAGCCACTAACTTGCGCTGAGATGAAGAAGCAGATCAGTAGAACACCCAGAACTGACATCACTGATAATATTGCATCTGAAATGAGTCACGGAAAGATGCAGCTTAAGACCTAACCAGAAGACACTTTACGCTGATGGAATCAGAAATATAGTGGACTGACACTACACAAAATACACCCAAAAACATATGGATTACAGAGAAAAATACATATGTCTAACTTCTATGTCATTTTTTGGTAAAATATAATATAACTGTCTTTAATTTTGTTAAAAAAACTTCAAAAATATATATATATATATATTATGTAAAGTGGTACTCCACATTTGTCAATTTTGTTCCAAATTAAATCTGATTGATGCACATTCCGCATACAACAGTGCGATGAAAGCAGGCTGAGTTTGATGCACATTCAGCGTACAACAGTGCGATGAAAGCAGGCTGAGTAGCCCAGGAAACACACTGATCAAAACTGACCTTGAAAATTCATATGAGTCGGGTTCATGTCCAGAAGTGAATCCTTGCTGATGCAGCTCTCGTTCCAAGTCCTGGCCAATAATCCCAGCCTCGCAGCACGCGACCAAGTTTTCTCGATCCAGCCACAAAATACGATTCTGTCGGAACGAGCCCCAGCATGTCGGCAATCAGACTCATCACATGTATTATACTCACAGACAACATGAACACAAGATAGATGGGCATAACCCCCTCTCCCACAATAATAATCCTGAAATGAATTTATTATCCCAAGGTACAACTATCTCAGCACAAAAATAACTGAGTGTTCTGAAGGACATACACTTAAAACACGCCACAGGCTGTTTTCCAACGCTGGACGAGTCTTTTAACAGACTTCAGACTCAGGTACGTGACAATGTCCTTGCAGAAATATCAGAACATTTATAAAAACTGAAAATTGCATCGAGAGAGAATTTTTCGCCTGCCAAAGGTTTTCAGTAGTTATGAAACCTGATTATGCTCCTTCTCACAGAGGATTATTAACAAAACAATTGACTGACATTTCAAAAAAACACAGATTTTAAAGATGCACTCAATAATTCCTCTGAACAAATTAGAGCTGGTCTGAAGAGAGATTTTTCACACATTTCAAGTACAGCTGAGAAGAAGATACTTCCATTTAAATCTACATACGTGTGAAACACCATTCTCAAAATTTCTAGCAGCAGAGATACATAATACTGATATAGGTTTAACGAAGACCACGAAATTAGGATACGGCCCTTTTCAAAATTGTATCCGACTTCAACTCCCTTGTGGCCGGCAATCAGGTCCTGCTGTCACATCGGGAAAGCAAATATTTCGTGTTTATAAAAGTAGGTTGTGGACCTTTCTGCATATCCAGTTTTAAATTAAAAATTTGTTTCCTTAAAAAATATAAGTTTCAGTTTCAAGGGTTCTACAAAAGTGCGTAATTATCAAAAGGGTTTCGCAGATATAAGAAGTTTGAGAACCACCGTCTAACCCACACATCACAAAACTAAGCAGTGAAAACATAAATATCAAATTACTTCATACCATCTGTGAAGTATCCAAGGCCATAATCGTGC